TATACCAATTATTCAATATATGGAACCAAAGTAGTAATGTATGGAACCAGGTGTCCTTATATGAAACCAAATTATCAATATATTAATTCATTTTTACAATATATATAACCATTTTATCAATGTATGGAACCAAAGTAGCAATATATGATTTGGTTATTACAATATATGATACCAATATTATTCAATATATGGAACCAAAGTAACAATGTATGGAACCAGGTGTCCTTATATGAAACCAAATTATCAATATATTAATTCATTTTTACAATATATGAAACCATTTCATCCATGTATAGATCCAAAGTATCAATATATAAGTCGATTATCACATTATATGATACCCGGTCTTCAATATATGGTACCAAAGTAGCAATGTATGGAACCAGATGTCCTTATATGAAACCGAATTATCAATATATTAATTCATTTTTACAATACATGAAACCATTTCATCCATGTATTGAACCAAAGTATCAATATATAAGTCGATTATCACATTATATGATACCCGGTCTTCAATATATGGTACCAAAGTAGCAATGTATGGAACCAGATGTCCTTATATGAAACCGAATTATCAATATATTAATTCATTTTTACAATACATGAAACCATTTCATCCATGTATTGAACCAAAGTATCAATATATAAGTCGATTATCACATTATATGATACCAGGTCTTCAATATATGGTACCAAAGTAGCAATGTATGGAACCAAATGTCCTTATATGAAACCGAATTATCAATATATTAATTCATTTTTACAATATATGAAACCATTTCATCCATGTATTGAACCAAAGTATCAATATATAAGCTGATTATCACATTAAATGATACCAGATCTTCAATATATGGATCCAAATAAGTCATGTATGGAACCAGATGTCCTTATATGAAACCGAATTATCAATATATTAAATCAATTTTACAATATATGAAACCAGTTTATCAATGTATGTAACCGAAGTAGCAATATATAAGTTGATTTTCACATTATATGATTCCAGTTCTTCAATATATGATACCGAAGTAGCAATATATTGAACCAAAATGTCATTATATTGACGGGACTTTTTTTAAAGACTGTATTCTATCCTTGCACCGGTATTACAGTTTCGCGCCAATATTCAAAAGACCAGCGTGCTTCACTGATTGCATACTGCACATTTTCTAAATAAGGAAATATTTGAATTTAACGTCACATTCACTTCAAATGGGCTGGGCAGGCAGAACTTATCGTTATATATGTACGAGTTGTATGTCATAATTTAAGTTATTGCGTCGTACTGACCATTAACAAAAACATATTTAAAAAATAAGTTCATCTCGACCTTTACCTTTGATCAAAAAATGGGCATGGCCAGTAGGACACATCAAGGTTAATCTACTCACAAAGTTTGAAAATAATCAGATAAATAATAATTGATTTCATGAAAAAGTGTATGCATTGTAATAACAGAACCCAGTGACCTCGGCCTTTGACCTGTTGACATGAAAATAGGCTATTTTGGTTCCATATAATGAAAATTGCTATCATAGACTGTAACATCAACTTAGATACTGCTACTTTGGTTCCATACATTAATAAAATGGTTTCATATATTGTAAAAATGACATAATATATTGATAATTCGGTTTCATATAAAGGTATCTGGTTCCATATATGGCTTTTTTGGTACAATATATTGAAGAACTGGTATCATATAAAGTGATAATCAAGTCATATATTGTTACTTTGGTTCCATACATTGATAAATTGGTTTCATATACTGTAAAAATGAACTAATACTCGTATATTGATAATTCGGTTTCATATCAGGACATCTGGTTCCATACATGGCTATTTTGGTACCATTTATTGAAGATTTGGTATCATATAATGTAATAACCAACTCATATATTGCTACTTTGGTTCCATACATTGATAAATTGGTTTCATATATTGTAAAAATGAATTAATATATTGATAATTCGGTTTCATATCAGGACATATGGTTCCATATATGGCTACTTTGGTATCATATATTGAAGAATTGGTATCATATTAATATATTGATAATTCGGTTTCATATATAATCCTGATATATAAAAGCACAGAGCAAGGATGCATGTTAGTCTAATTCATTAGACTCTTAAAGGCTTGTACACAACGTACAATCAAATGGGCAGACAGCCGTTCAACCATCGACAGCCGTACCGGTATATATATGTTTTTATATATCAGGACTATCTATACAAAATTTAAATACATGTAATAAGATTGTTTACAAAATTTGATTTATGCACTTTTAAGTCACATACTGAGTAGCTGCCTTTAATCACTATGTGTGGCTCAACGGTTTAGATTTACCACAACTATATATAATTAAAATAATCAATAATAATATATGCCTCGGAACAAGTTACCTTGCCCGTTTGTGCCTGAAATAATGCACGGAAGGTCACCTGAGGTCTTCGCTGGAACGTCGTCGAATAACCTATACTGTGTCGGTGTGACGTAAAACCAAAAAAAAAAATCCAAGTTACCTTATCCGTGGCCATTCGTGCCAGTGTTGAAGAGTCTACCCCTCGCTTTCGTAGAAATTCCTAGATTTGAGACCCCATTGTGTATACCGAGGTACATTAACGGCTTATTTCATACTAAGGGAAGTAACTATGTGTGTTATCCATTTTTGAACAAGGAAATGGCGTAATTTATACTATGGGAGATAACTATTTCTATAAGGTGTAACTGTTTTGATTGGCTTAAAAATATGTACGAAAAACTAAAATAAAATATGTACACAAAACTAAAAAGAAAAGTTTCAAAAACAAAACAAAAAATAAAAAATGTGCGAAAAACAAAAAAAAAGTTTCAAAAACAAAAAAAATAAAAAATGTGCGAAAAACAAAACAAAAAGTTTCAAAAACAAAAAAAAAAAAAAAAGTGCGAAAAAAAAAAAAAAAAGTTCCAAAAAAAAAAAAAAAAATAAAAAATGTGCGAAAAACAAAAAAAAGTTTCAAAAACAAAAAAAAAAATGTGCGAAAAACAAAACAAAAAGTTTCAAAAACAAAAAAAAAAAAAAAATGTGCGAAAAACAAAAAAAAAAGTTCCAAAAACAAAAAATAAATAAAAAATGTGCGAAAAAAAACAAAAAAAAAAGTTTCAAAAACAAAAAAAATAAAAAAATTGCAAATGTCACTTTTATGCCACCGTAGAAAACATTAAAGAGACGAGATTCTAATTTGAAGATGGCCTAGAGTAAGTATATCTTCTTTTGATACGAAGTTTAACTCACCTTAAATAATGATTTAAATGTTCTACATAGGTTTGTGTGTAAACTTGAGTTATGCATCTTTTAGCTGGTGATATTTTGACCCCAGGTGTTGCTTTGAAGTTTGCAGCACCCGAGGTTAGCCAAAGTCATCTTTCCTGTTCAGGCGCCACTTTACCTAAACTGTGTTGGTACGCCGTAAAACCAACAACAAGATTTGTATCATCATTAATCATAAGGGTAGGCCATTACAACAAATAATGTTGTAATATCGTTTGGAGTTTCATTTGAAGGCGCTGAAATAATGTAGAAATCTTTTATTCCCAGTTTTATTAAAATCCATATAACTTTTTTAAAATCTGCTAAATACGTCTTTTATTACTATATTAATTACTATCTATACTCGTAATGTATTAAACGGTATATAAAGTTGTCATCCCTCATTTGAAACATTCATGAAACAAAAACAACAACAAGAACAAAACAACAAAAACAACAACAAAAAAACAACAACAAATAAACAAATATATAAAATATAAATAAATAAATTAATAAAAAAATTAAAAGTAAGAAAAAAAACGGATATAAAGCTATTCAAATTATACCAGTGCTTAACAAAAATGAGAAAAAATGAGTTTATATATAGAGACGCGGTACAGTTTGAGCTCATTTTTCTAAAACTTTGATGATATCTATTTAGTTCAGGTTCACGCTATACTTGGATACGTTTGTAAGGCTGGTCCTATTTTTGAAGATTTATATAGGTAGATTTGATGTCATATGCCGCTCATCACTGTCATTCATTTACTTATAGTATACATGTATTTGATGTATATGGTACAGATCTACTTTTGGTTTAAAATCAAGTTTATGAATGATTAGATACTTTGGGTCTATTCATTAGCTCGAAAATGTCTGTATCAAATGTGGGTTGATTTGAGTATTATCATACAAACATACAATGAGAATTCAATCCATGCATCGGATATATGTTTTAATTATTTCAAATACTTGTAATCCGTATTTAGTTTTCTCTAAGAAGCTTAAGGAATCTCTACCGGATTGATGTAAAATTTGAAATTCTTGAAATGTAAATCATTTACACTGAAGAACTACTAAATTGGATATTTATCACATTTAGAGAAAAAAATCCAAGTACATAACCAAAAATGTATTAAGTGAGATTTAAGCAATTCATCAGTGGAATAATCAAAATCCACATATCTGTACATCTGTATGTAAACCGTATTACTAGCGAGTCAATATTCTTGTTTCCCTTTGCCTAAATAAATTTGAACACGTTATTTAATAACATCATACAGTTTTATACCCCGTTGCCTATAAATAAATTCGAACACGCCATTTAACAATATCTTACAGTTGAAACAAATATATCGTTATAATTTTGAACAATTGAAACAAGCGCAAATCTTCCTTATGGTTATTAAATCATATACACCGACTTTTCTCACGTCATAATTTGCAAACGCACCAATCGTTTGATCATGTCGAATAATAAGACAGACAAACGCTAATTATTTTGTTCACGATTCACCGATTAAAGTTAAAAATTATATCCTAATATCTCGTAACGTTCTTTGTGTATGTACGAGGGTCATACATTATGTAATGTAATCTGTTAAATAATAAGAAAAAAATATTTCATTTTTTTTTACCTCTCTACATTCCTTCAAAGAAATATCCTTTGTGATCAATGACGGACTGGATTCCACCTCTTTGGCAGGTTATCTATGCCCGTATATCATGAACAATTTATATAATTGATCAAAATCATTTTTAGGATCAGCCTATCCACATTCTTTTTACATAATCCCTAACGTTATATCTCAACTGTGTTTATGTGCTGTTTCTAGGGAGCTTCTTGCGTCTGGAATGAAAGACTTTGAGGAGAAATTGTTTAGTTTACTGTGTGATCACAATGGTCTTGTCTCCATGGACAGGTTTAATAACGTAAGTTGTCTCGCTATAAAAATATCTATTTTGATAGAGTGAATAAATATTTAAGCCATTTTCATTTTCAACGTTTTAATGTTATATCAGCGTTGTTTTACATTTTTACGGTCGTAATATGCATCCCCGTATCTTCAGTCACAGATGTTATACTTCTGTATTTCGAGATAGTTCGACATGACTTTACGAACACATCTTTAGATGATTCAATTCAAAATTCACCATTTTCATGTTTAAATGTTAAATTCTGCCTTAGCCGGTGCTAGGGAGCACCGGGGGCTTGGACGGTAATGAACAGAGTCAATCAAACCGAGCCTGAGACAATTTCAATTTTGTCGTTTTGGGAGTTCTTTAGGAATTCTTTTTTGTTTATTTTATTGTTGTATATTTGATATTTTTAGTTCTTTCGATTTCCATTTTGTTATTGGTGATGCCGTCAGTATATGAATACTATATGTTATCACCCAAAGATAAGTCGTCAGCCTTCCAAATTTCTGAACCACTATCAAATTTCTATTTCGGACCGCCAATTACTTTCTAGTTCATATAACACATATTATTTTATTTTAGTTATTTGCAACGCTTTTGATGGAATGACGGGAAAATATCAAAATGAAGGTTCCATGATAACTGCTAAATCAATACATTTGTGGATATTCCTTGAATCTGAATACCACCATTTTCATACTAAAATATGCCCAAGTCGGTGCTAGGGGGGTGGACGTTAGTTTGCATTTACAACTGCCGTCCATGTATATGCTTAATCAAAGTAGTTTCAACTTAAGATAGTTTCAATGTCGTTTAATGTTTAAATAATTATCTCGTTACTTATCATGTTTATAGAAATAAGTAAGTCAATAACTCTATAAAAATTATGTAAAGATAATATTGGAAAATTATAATAAATATATAATATAATATTTGTAAATATAGATATGAAGATTATTACACACAATCATGTTGTTTTCATATTCTTATGGTTAGTTAGAAGAGGGTTTAATCAAACATTTCTCATCTATCTAACGAAAAAATCTTATATAAACATAATGAAATATGTGAAATACGAAATATTCAAATGCTATTTTAGTATTCGCCCATCCCTTTATAAATATAATTAATCGTACTTTGCAAGATGCAAACAAAAATTGTGTTACCGGCTAGAAACAGTTCAATGTTGCTTTATACAGTAAGTATAAAAACAGAAAATGATAAATTGCTGGTGTTTTTTTTGTTGTTCGTATGCTACAAACTATGTATGAAGTGTCTCTAATAAAGCAAAACAAAATCTGTGTCAGTAAAAATGAAAATGACTTTTTTATGACAGAATATTGCATGGTATATCATATTGAGATTAACATGCCATTTGTCACCCACGAAAATAACATAATGTGATAGTGTTCACACAAGCTGACCTGTCATAAAAATTTATTATGCTATATGATGTCATGATACAAAAAATGTTGAGAAGTAAGATATTTGATCCCATTCTAATTATCTGATAACATCTAAAATCATATGGAAAAAAGCAAGACCAGAATTACGTAGACCTTTTTGTAATTTTAAAAAGAATGGTAAAATAAAGACATGAATAAATTTCACAGGAGCTTACTTTTACATAGAAAGCTATCCAGCTAGCTTACGGAACGTCGGTGGTTCTACTCAGGTGCCGGTGTAGTCTGAAATAATCCTGACATCTTCCTCCACCAGTAAAGCTGGAAAGTCGACATATGACCTATACTGTGTTAGTGCGACGTAAAATCCAACCCCCTCCCCCCATCCAAAAAACAACAACAAAAAACATCCGTTGGCATAATTTCATACTTAACGGGTTCTGTGTACAACTGACATACATAATTTTTTGATAAAATCTATATCAAATTCCAGCAACAAATCTTTTTGTACATGTTATAATCATTTCTGTCTGTGAACAGCTTCTTGAAGAGACTGGTTTACGAGGGACAGATTTCCGGTTAAAAGAGACGATGACAAAATTCCGGGCGGTTCTGGAGAGACAACTTCATAATGAAAATGAACTGAGAGGATTGGTGGACAAAGAAACCTTTCTCGAGTAAGATAATATAAGCATAATTAAAAATATACATTTTTTGTGTGTTTAAGGTTATTTATTTAGATATTTTTTACATCAATTACTTGGACAATTGGAATTAATGATTATAAAAGTCTTTTTTTTTCAGGAAAACAAAATCATATCAAAAAGTGATAAAATACCACCGATCCTCCGAGAGGACGAGGGAAATAAAATATGACAAAATGAAAAGCAATAAAACGTTAAATATATACATGTAGTATTGCTTAACATATTTTTGATATATAAAGTAGATAAATGAATGATTATAGACAAATAAAAATACAAAGTTGAAGCGTGAAGAATAGCCGAATGGAATAACTTTTCATTTTCAGCTGCGTTTTGGACAATATTGTTGTTATATCAAAAGCCCTGACCAGCCAGTTTGTGATACCGGAGTTCAAGCCTTTTACAGACATTATAGACAAAATCTACGAGTCATGTAAAGAAAATGACCGCGGTCAGGTGAGATTCTGCTTATCATTTTATAATAAGGATTTAAATGTAGTAAGTTTATAATAAAAAGATGTATTTATAGTAATATCAAGTACAAAGTCATTTTAGATGCAGCTTAGTATGGTACAAAATCCAAATTGTTCCATTGTAAAGTAGTGTACAGAGGCTTTGTCATATGAAAAAACGTCCAAACAATGCAAATGAATAAATGAATGTTATTAGTCAAAACCTGATAAAAGTTAATTAAGTTAGTTATATAATTAATGTGTTGATAAAAAAGTAATGTGTTGATAAAAAGGGTTATGCAAAGTAATACTAATTTTGTTCAAGGACAACAGATTACTAGCTGCGCCTTTTTCATTTGTACCAAAATAACCAGAAATAGTTTCTTTCCTTTACTAGCCAGCACAATATATCCCACAACTTGCACGTGGAAATCCAGAACACTGGGGTGTTTCTGTTTGTACAGTAGATGGTCAAAGGTATAAACAAAATAAATAAAATGAAAAAGAAAACTAGAAAATAAGAATAAATAAACTAAAAAAAATACTATGTCCATTATTTAAGTAAATACTTAAGACAACATTTTAACACATTAAATACATGTAGCATTTATTACAATCCATGTTTCATTTGATACAAATCTGCTAGGATAAAACTAATTTTGTATCATATGCCAAAATATCAAACCGATTGCTTTGGAATGAACACCTAAAGGTAATTTCTCTTTTAAACAGTAAGCTTAAAAACATAAATTCGTCTCATGCAAGTTAAATTAAAAATAAATCGAAGTTTTTCTTCGTTTAATCTACCTATTTTCTTTACATAAAGAAATGCATGTTCTTTCAATACTCTTTTTCCGAGTTGTAGATATGACTTGGGAGATACGAACATACAATTTTGTCTTCAGTCGGTTGTAAAACCATTGAACTACGCCTTGACATTAAATGATCTATCCCCAGAAGTGGTCCACAAATACGTGGGTCAGGAACCGAGTGGGAGATCATTCAACGAGCTAACACTCGACTATCAACGTAAGCATTTTGCTTGTACCCAATGTCTGCCATCTTCGTGGCAATATGTAATTGATCTGTAAAGTCTGTAACTTTGTGACCCATGACTTGTGATAGGTCTTTTTCATGACTTGATAACACATCTTTTACAGTCACTGATTAAAATCCTCTTTTCCGCTTCTTCAACGGAGTCGTCGAAATGTTTCGATGGAAGCCTTCATTGTTTTAGCAATTCTCTGTTATTTCGAAACAGCATTAATGCCATTTGGCTGCTATAACCAAAAATGTACTGCAAAAGCAGAAGATGAATCTGTAGCTTAAAGTAATTACTTTGATATTTCGGTTTATATCTTCAGACAAACCACACAATCCAATGATTAATGCAGGTGCTATTGTGATTTCGTCATTGCTAAAGAAGGGATTGGTCATTGCTGATAGATTTGATTACGTGAGTTTGTAATATCTTTTGTTTGACTGTTTTTTACGAAATATTTATTGGTTTCATTGTTGTTGCAGATGTGGCGTACAAATATCATGTTGTTGTTTATATAAATGCATCTTATCATCACTTCCCCATAACATGTGTGTAATTTTGAATAAAAACAACACATGAATATGAAATAGACAAACATGTACCATTCGAGAACAGTTATAGTAGCCCATTGTATAATACCTTTCTTGTTTCTAGAAAGCAACATTGTAAAGAAAACATCAAATGACGCTGTTGAAAATGAACCAAAACATTTTTAATGTATAAAATGAAAAATTGAAAATGACATCTAAGGAAACTTACAGTATTTTATGAAGAGAAAACTGTCCTGGTTTTGACATTTTTGAGATTGTAAGATTTCGTTCCATCGGAGGGTAAGGTCATTTAAAAACATGGTCATATAAGAAACCGGAGAGTTTGATATATAATATATAGAGGGAGACCAGGTAACCTTTTTCTTTGTAGACTCGGAAAAATGATGAACCTGATTTGAGATATGTAGAAAAGGTAAGATAAATCTAGTGCTTTTGGTTTATCATGAATTGTGAACGTTGTCGTAAAAGATTTGTAATTAGGCTTTGTTTAATTTTACAGTAAGAACACATTTATTCATAGGGATAAGGCTGAAGAAAAGTACATCATATTGTACTTAATGCAACAGGATAATAACAAAAACATAGGACGGTGTTGATCTTTATTTTGAACATAATATTATATGAATTTTCTCTCAAAATTAGGTCGGACGTGTCATATGATAAATATACTAATATTTGATGCCTCATTTACTTTGGAGATATTTCAATGTCAAGAAAAGCTTTAATGTGTAATAACCAAATTGTTATTATTAATATAACATGTTCTCATCCGCAGGCAATGGATGAGTTACGACGGTTAGCAGGTCAGGAGCACGTCTCATTCAATAATTCGGTGTGAGTTTTCTTTCATCTTGCTGTCATTACATTTAAGGAAGTTTAATGTCCTCCAAAGAACAAATTTATCTAATCCTATTAAGATACTAAGTTATCTCAAACATGATCTCGCATAATTAAGAAGATTTTTATTTTTGGCTAAGGGATTGCCTTTAATGGTTGAGCCATAAGAATTGCAGTGACCGATTATCCCTGCGTGATCATAAGAGGCGACTAAATGGGTCCAAATAACTGGAGTCTATGCATCTCTTATCTCTAGCAGGTGAAATGGTTTTGACCCCTGGTGCTGCTTTGAAGTTTGTAACACCGGAGGTTAGCCAAAATTATTTTTTCCAGTTTCAGCACCATATGACATATACTCTGCTGGTGCGTCGTAAAATAAAACAAACATAAAACACTTTTAAATTCTTTTATGTTCTGTGTCACTTTTCATGTTGTGGAACTCAGGAACAGCAACTTGACAGATCCAAAGTCAAACCAAACCATTGCATGAGTCAGCCAAAAGTTGAGCTTATTCTTTTTCACATTCTTAAAAGCAATAGCTTTCACTTTCAAAGCATCTGTTTTCAAAACAAACTAAATTCCATTTATCTTCTGTATCTTTTAATTAGCTTTTAATTTCCTTAGCATTTTTATCAACCTCTTTACACACAAACCAGTGTTTGATCTCTTTGACTTACAGTTACCTATCGGAGAGAGCTACAGCTGACAGGAATTTTGCATTGGGTTATTACATGAGGGAAAATAATGTATGATATATTATTTTTTCTTTAGCGTTTGATTCTAATTTGTTAACCTTTGATTAGAATATATTTCATACATTTATTTTATCAGATGTTGATGTGTTTCTTACAGTATATTAGTTAATAATTAATTATTTTTATGTATGATCTTCTTGTTTGGTGGGGCGTCCGTGGCCGAGTACTTCAAACCAGTTGCCCATCACCACTGTGGGTTCGAATCCCGAAAGGGACCTTGGATTCTTTCATGTGAGGAAGCTATCCAGATACCTTACGGAACGTCGGTGGTTCTAATCAGGTGCCTGTTCGTGTCTGAAATAATAGACGGAAGGGCACCTGAGGTCTTCCCCCACCAGTAAAGCTGGAACGTCGCCAAATGACATATACTGTGTCGGTGTGACGTAAACCCCAATCAAACAAACAAAAATCTTTTTTGGTTATTTTGCACAAATATTAACAGTATATTAGTAAACATTTAATTATTTTGTCTTTGATCATCTTGTTCGCTTATATTGCACAAATAATACTTGATTTCGAGTTGTCTACGGTATTGTGTTGCATACTAAATTTTACATTTCACTTATCATTTGATTATATTATTTCAGTGTTTTCCTCCAGAGGCACGATCTGTGAAAATCCTTGATCTACTAACTTTCAAGTATGCCATTATATATTTTGTTGATCAAGAAACTCTTGGCACAGTTTATAAGAACTAAGTGGCTAGACATCTTAAACAGTTAGCAGCGTATAGATGTACAGGTATGTATTAATGTAAACTTATTTGTAAAACATACATTTTTTAAATATCCGCAATAAGTTTATATTAATAACATAATATCTATTCGCTTAGTTATATTAATATATTATCGTTTTGCTTTTGTTTTAGCTTTGTTCTATAGAAGTGACGGCACAGTCCGGTGCTGTTATAGCCGCCACCCTGGCTAACGGCGGCATCTGTCCTACAACTGGGGACAATGTGCTCGATCCTCAGGCTGTACAAAACACATTGTCACTCATGCATTCCTGTGGCATGTACGATTATTCCGGACAGTTTGCTTTTAAGGTAATTATTTACAAAAAAGTGTTATTTTGATATTAAAATACATATGTAGAGTGGCTCATCTCTTCTATTACAAATATATTTTATTATTGTATAATTTGAATACATTATGTTTACGGCAGCACATTTCTTAAGAATAAATGTAGATCCGACATTTTTTTTTTCGCTACTTTATCCAGTAAACTCTGTCACAGAACCAAATACTTACTGATTCATAATAAATCTAATAGCTTATTTGGATGCTAATTATGAAGGATTGTTTGTTATATTTCAGGTTGGGTTACCGGCAAAGTCAGGGGTAGCTGGAGGTGTCATGCTTGTAATTCCCAATGTAATGGGAATCTTTACCTGGTCCCCACCGCTAGATCAGTGGGGAAACAGCAGTAGAGGTGTACAGTTCTGCGAGGTAAGAACGCTTGAATAAGGAAAATAACTGTTTATTTTAAAACACAACCGCAATAGCTTGGACATGAAATTGTAAATAAACATTAAATATTTATGTCTTATTTAACAAGGTATTGTTGATAACAGCAGAACAGAACAAGAAAAAATAGGCAGTGTCGTGCAAATACAAAAGGGTTCGACATATTAAATTCAGGATATATGTGCCAGAGAGTGACAGATCGATATTTATGGTGATCATTTGTTCTTTTTGCTAGGAACTAGTAGAGAATTTCAATTTCCACAACTACGACAATCTGAGACACACCAATAAGAAGTATGATCCTCGAGGTCGAGCCGTGGAGTCCAAGGCACAAGATGTTGTCAGCTTGCTATTTAGTGCCTACAATGGTGATGTCACTGCTATGAGAAGGTGATAGACTTGTTAATGCATAGAATGTATCAGATTTTAGAGGAGTATTACAAAAATGTTTTCAATTTTAATATTATTTCCTAGGCCCATTATGCCCCATAGTGCTTTTAATTTTATTTCTAAAAGACTTTTTATTTTGTTGTACTATCATACTTAACAATAAAGTACTCATTGGCCGATTACCTTAACTTACTTTTGCTTTTGTTGCTTTTTTCGCATTTAGAACAGTTACAGTGATTTAGTACTTTGTATGGTAGTCAAAATAATACTTTGTTTACATTTGGTACTTTTATGACATACAATTTCACATTTACCGCTATTCTCTTCAGGTAATAATCTTCTAACATGCTCTTAAACCATTATTTAAATGTTGTAAAACTCGTGTTGACCCTTTCTTAAGAAGTAAAAAAATGTTCGTCTGAGGCATAATGTGCCTTCTATAAAAAAGACTCGATTACATATAATTCACATTTAAAATTGACAAATCCGTTCAAAAAACAATAGGCAATTAATTTAGATATTATCATCTAATTTTATCTTTATTTAAAGATATATTTAGATTTAATTTATTCCAGGTATGCTTTGCTCGGGATGGACATGTCTTTGGCGGACTATGACGGCAGGACGGCTCTTCATCTTGGGGCAGCTGAAGGTCACGAATCAATTGTCCGATTCCTTCTTGAGAAATGCGGGGTGAACGCTCATCTTAAAGACAGGTCTTCCTTTTTTTTTTTGAACTTGAGTTTTTAGTATTTTGTTTACAATATAGTGGATATTTGTTTAGTTCAGTGTAAGATCGGAATATATTTCACCGAGTGAGCACCAAAAGGTATATTTCACGAGTGGCGCAGCCACGAGTGAAATATGAACTTTTTTGGTGTTCACAAGGTGAAAGTACTATTTGCGATCTGCGTATTTCACTGAAACAACGTAAGGGGCTTAAATTCAAAACAGTGAAATTATCAAAGTGGTAAATTCACTGTTTCAAACAGTGAAATTACCAGTTTTATATCACTGGTATATTTCTATAAACCACCGAAAAGCATGTAATAAATAAGTTTTAATTCCATATAAGTACATGTGCAATGTATCTATGAATATTTCGTAAGGATTTTGTCATTTCCCAGTAAATTGTTCATAATGCTTCGGAAGAAAAAAATCTTACGTTTTTTACGTTGTGAGAAAGATATTTTACACATTCTTATTAACACAGTATTAAGTTTAAATTGTATGAATAATGTTTCCAAGTCCAGTCACTTTGCCGACAATATTTGTATAGAGTGAAACATAACGTCATTAAAATTAATCTAAGTGTTAGAAATATACACTTTTTAAATGATTTCTGTATGTTTCAGATGGGATTTTACTGCCTATGATGACGCCAAACGTTTCAAGCATGAAGACATTGCAAAACTGCTCAAAGAATACATGTAAACATATTTCAATTCATTTTGGAAAATACACAGTTGAAGAAGTTTACCAATCACGCGAAAAAAAGCAGCAACAAAAAAAATAATAAAAACAACATAGTTAATGATAAAAAATTGTTCCCCCAGGAGGAAAGTGTGATTATTTTCATATTGCATGCTTTTGTACAAATATTCATTTAAAGTTTTCATATGACAATCCAGATAGAGTATAAACAGCAGAATAATTCAACCAAGCACGTGCAATTTAGCAACATAGTTAATGAGAAAAGGAAGTAGTTTCCACAGAAAGAGGAAGATTGTGTTTTTTTTTTGTATGTAAACTTTAAAGCAAAAGAAATACTCTAAGGAAATGGCAATGCACTATTTCAATACACTAACGATTTTTCAAACTATTTGTCCCGTAAAAAGGTAGTATACCTTACACACAGTCTAAGAAATGCGTTATGATATGCTTTGAACGATTTTTTTCCCTATCCTTTGTCCCGTAAAATGGTAGATTAATCTTACAGACTTATTATATTATTTCTATAATGTATTGTCTATTTATCTTTTATAAAGGTTTCATATACATGCAAAGTACACTAATGTATGATATACTAGCATAGATAACATGTTAAAAGTATTTATTCTTGTCTTAATTCTTTTGTACGTCCCTGGCCAATCCATTCAAAAGCATAAAGTATAAAATAGAAAAGATTATATTAACAATTATATATAAACAAGGTCTGTTAGTTAAAGCTATATGCCTCCAGATCAGCCAAAACATTTCAAGAAAATCAAACTTGAGAAATATGTTCTAAGGTTTTATAAAAGTAAAAAGATTCAAGAAATGATACGCGTGTTATGTGCGACTATTGACTGCATTATTTATCACCATATTTCTATTGCGAGACTAATATGTATTGAGGGCTATTTTTCATGTTTCGACCTGTTTTTGATAATATACGTGGATTGTAAGTGCCGCTTAAAATATGTAAATTACTTTCTTTGTTCACTTGATAATAATTTACTTTTCAATAAATTTTCAAAATGTTTTATGAATATAAACATGAATGTGCAGAATTGCTGCTTTAAACAACATATTTTAGAGTTACTAAAATATGTTTGTTTTGTCATATATGAATACATAACTTGCTTGTCCATGTTTTCAAGAAAATGAGTGTGATAACGTTTAAGTTATATGTTTATTAGACTTTTACATATGACATTGTATCTTACATTCATATCGCGTCAGTGCTTTATTACAATTATCATTGTGTCATAATACTTCATCATAATACATTAAATTTTAAACGTTGGACATGTTTGATATGATATTACGTACATAGATTCTTTTTGATAAAGTCTAACATAGATGAGCTATAAATAGAATAATCTTGTCTGGCCTTCACAGGTCATACTGCGGGCTAGATTTCAATGAATCTTCACAGGAGTGATCAGTACCATCCCTAGTTGTGCACATCACCAGCATGTTTGGTTCCACTTTACAAAATGGCTGCAAGAGCTATAAATAGAAAAATTTTGTCTGGCTTTCACAGGCCATAATGTGGGCCGGATTTCAATGAAACTTCACAGAGTAATCAGTACAATCCTTAATTCTGCACAGTGCAGGCACGTTTGGCTTCACTGCACAAAATGGCCACCAGAGCTATAAATAGAAAAATCTTGTCCAGCCTTCACAGGTCAAACTGTACATTGAATTTCAATGAAACTTCACAGGAGTGATCAGTACTTTACTTAGTTGTGCACATCGCCAGTACGTTTCGCTCCTTTTTCCTTCACAGGTCAAATTAGTGGGTGGATTTCAATGAAACTTCATAGGATTGATAAGAACTATCCCTAGTTTTGCACATTGCTGGCAGGTTCCGCTTCGCTGCACAAAATGGCAACAAGAACTTTAAATAGAAAAATCTTGTCCGGCCTTCACAGGTCAAACTGTGAGTCGGATCTCAATGAAACTTCATAGAAATGATCAGTACCATCCCTAGTTGTTGTGTTTACTTGCACATTCTGCTCCACTGCACAGAATGCAGGATGTTAAGTTGTTCCTACTTTGTCTAATTTTCCTACTTTCTCCTATTTTTGTAAGTGTTCCTACTTTTCCCTACTTTTTGTCTTCAATTCCTACTTATTAAGAACTCAAGAAATTTGCAATGAAAATAAAGTTGTACGAGGATTGATTAAAAAGTTATTGGCCCTGAATGTACTTCCGGTAGTCAGAGAACCCATCTAATGGTCTTCCTTTTCAATATAATCCCCCTTTACATCAATGCACTTTGCCCACCTGTGTTTCAACTTTTTCAACCCTTCAAAAATAGAACTCTTATATAATTTGGTCCTCAAAGAAAATATTGACTGCCTCCATGACACCTTCATTGCTTGCAAAACATCTTCCATGAAGCTTGGTTTTCAGTTTCCGAAACAGGTGGAAGTCAGAGCAGGCCAAGTCCAGAGAATATGCGGGATGGGGAAGAATTTCAAAGCCGCAGTCAGTTGCAGCAGCCATTGCAACTTGAAATGTGTGAGCTAACACTTGTCATGCAGGAGCAGAACACCTTGAGTCAGTTTGCCCCTCCTTTTACGCGCGATTTCTTGACGCAGACATCTCAATTCGTCTGCATAGTATGTACCGTTTATGGTATGACCTTTCTCAAGATAGTCAATCATGATTGTCCCCCGACTATCCTAAAAATTGAAGCCATCATCTTCCCTGCTGATAGCTACCTAATTATAGCCCTGGGGTCAAAATTGGCCTCACCCAGGTGCTCTTTAATTTTCAGTATATACTGATAGTAAAAACTTAAAAAATCATCTTGTAAAAATCTGAAAGAGCTACCGCTTATATTTGGCATAAAACTTGTTCTAGTGGATGTATAGCCCTAGGGTCAAAATTGGCCCCGCCCCCGGGTGTCATTGTTTTTCCTCATTTGTATATAGTGAAAACTTATAATAAAAAAATTCTTGTAAAAAACCAAAAGAGCAAGAGCTTAGATAATTGGCATGAAACATTTTGTAGTAAGTATCTACCAAGTTTGTTCAAATAAAGGCCCTAGTTGTTCAAATAAAAGCCCTATAGTCAAAATTTGTCCCTCCCTGGGGGTCATTTATTTTCCTTTTATGCATATAGTGAGAACTTAAAAAAAATTGTTGTAAAAATCTGAAATAGCTAGAGCTTAGATATTTAGCATGAAACATCTTCTAATCTACCAAGTTTGTTCAAATAAAATTCCTAGGGTCAAAATTGGCCTCACCCAAGGGGATCATTGATTATCCTTATATATCCGAAATCAATAGAGCTAAGATATTTGGCATGAAATATCTTTATGTGGATGTCTACCAAGATTGTTCAAACAAAAGCCCTAGGGTGAAAATTGACCCTGCCCCATGACTCATTGATTTTCGTTATTTGATATGCTCTACTTATCAAAGTGTGTTTTATGTTATTTAATCTGTGTAAAACCACGTGTTATTGGTCAGTAATCTTCAATAAGATATCTATATCAATGTACCATGTGTAAATGTCAGTGTAGTGGCAAGAAGTACTTTATCAGGTCGAGAACTTTTTGACCATACCTTGTACTTTAAAATTAGTGTTTAGTATCAATTCAGGATAGAAGTGATTGTATTATGACTGTAAGACTGTAAGAAGTTTTCATCTGTTTGGCAAAAAGACCCATGCTGGCTGTCCCACATGCTATTTAAAGTTACCTGTGACAGACAGATGGGTTTGAGCCTTGAGCAGATGGAGGGTATAAAAATTATCTCTTAAAATTTATATTCTGAAGAAAATCCTGCTTAGTGAGTATAGTCTGATTTTATTGACCTGTCAATTATGAATACTTAAATTATAGCACTCAATGAATAATATATACAACTTATTGTTTACGAGAATTAATATGGAGTATAAAACTAATGTTGCACAAACTGGGTGAGTCTCAGTATGCTGAATGTTCGGGGCAGAATTTTCGTAACTCTCAGCAACTACCATGACAGCCTCTTGATATTTGGTATACAGCATTAACATGTGGTCCCATACCGTGGGATTAGATTTCAGGTCTGTCGCTCATACACTTCCTATTAACGGACTTGGATAAATTTTCAGCATTAATGGTCAATGGTAGTAAATTTTCGTAATTTTCTCAGCAACTACTTATCACAGCCTCTGATATTTAGTATACAGCATTAACACCTAGTCCCCCACCGTCAATGTTAGAAAATTTTCCTAACATCACTGCCTCATGATATTTGTTATACAAATGTAACATGGCTATTTTGGTCTATGACCCATTTTTTTAGACCTATTTTTCTATATTTGAAGTATATTTTAATGAAAATGGCCAAGTCTTGCAAAATTGTCTACATGGATATTTAACAACTTAGAAACACTGATTTGTCCAGTTTTGCATTATAGTATTTTATAGCACTGAAATGACATTAATTGATATTAATTTAATTAAACCATGTTATTCAAAAGAGTAAAGTCTTTACCAAAATAAGTGAGTGCAAAACATTTAAAAAACAAAAACAAAAAAAGAACAGCTTAAACAAAAAACAATCATAGCTTCAATAATGTTGAAATAGTTATATTAATAGAAAAGAAATAAGGACATATGCAGTCTTGATCTTACAAGACATAGGATATTTAGAAATTATAAACCCGTAGTTTACTCTATTGCGCTTAATAAAAGTCAATATGATTATTTCATAGACACAAATTAAATTTAATCACATCTTACTGCGTGCATCTCACGAAATTTACCAATTATTATGCCCCCATTTCGAAGAAAAGGGGGTATATTGCTTTGCACTTGTCGGTCCGTCGGTCTGTCGGTCCGTCGGTCCGTAGACCAAATGGTTTCCGAGTGATAACTAAAGAACCCTTAGGCCTAGGAACTTCAAACTTGGTATGGTGATTGGTCATGATCAGTAGATGACCCCTATTGATTTTGGGGTCAAGTGGTCAAAGGTCAAGGTCACATTGACCTTGTAAGCAAAAACGGTTTCCGATCAATAACTAAAGAACCTTAAGGCCTAGGAACTTCAAACTTGGTATGGTGATTGGTCATGATCAGAAGATGACCCCTATTGATTTTGGGGTCAAGGGGTCAAAGGTCAAGGTCACATTGACCTTGTAAGCAAAAACGGTTTCCGATCAATAACTAAAGAACTTTAAGGCCTAGGAACTTCAAACTTGGTATGGTGATTGGTCATGATCAGTAGATGACCCCTATTGATTTTGGGGTCAAGGGGTCAAAGGTCAAGGTCACATTGACCTTGTAAGCAAAAACGGTTTCCGATCAATAACTAAAGAACTTTAAGGCCTAGGAACTTCAAACTTGGTATGGTGATTGGTCATGATCAGTAGATAACCCCTATTGATTTTGGGGTCAAGGGGTCAAAGGTCAAGGTCACATTTACCTCTTGGGTAAAAACGGTTTCTGATCAATTACAAAAGAACCCTTAGGCCTAGGAACTTCGAACTTGGTATGGTGATTGGTTATGACCAGCAGATGACCCCTATTGATTTTGGGGTTAAGGGGTCAAAGGTCAAGGTCACATTGACCTTGTAGGTAAAAACGGTTTCCGATCAATAACGAAAGAACCCTTAGGCCTAGGGACTTCAAACTTGATATGGTGATTGGTCATGATCAGCAGATG